ATGTAACCTAAAGGTGTCTTCAAAATTTCTTATGATCATCCATTCCAAGAGCTTGGATTCAGGTTTGTGATTGTTTGTTTTCCTTTGTTTATGTGCTTTATCTATTGCAGGGTTTGGTGTCGTATTAAAGTCTTCCCCTATAATGATGTGTGCTTCCATCTTCTCTGCTTGGATTATCCATTCCTGTATTTTCTGTTCTGTTTTTGTTCTTACTTCTTTGTTGTTATTGTTTGTTGGTGGGAGGTATGCACCTATTATGCAAAGTTTGTGCCTGTTTGGAAAGATCATGTCTATTGCTATGGCTCTGCCCTCGAATTCGAACTTCCCAAATATCCTGGTTGATAAATCTTTGTGTACTGCGATACTTACTCCATGTCCGATTTTCCTTGTGTCATCCGTTATTGTGAACAGGTTGTAGCCTTGTTGTTTCCAATACTTTGTCTAGTGGAGGTTGCCATTAGTTTCCATGGTGATTACAATTTCCCATTCATTTTCTGCGCAGTATGCTGTCCATAGATTCTGTTTGTTCTCCTCCACCATGCCTCTTATATTGTGTGTGACTATTGACCATAATGTGTATGTGGGTGTATATCTTGCTTTGATTATTTTGTTGTGTGTATTTGAGTTAGTATTGTTGTGTTGTGTTCTTGATGTTGAAGGAGAGTGGTACTGTGACATTATGTTGACTTTATTACTATCTTCTCTCAATGAGGAGTGCTCTAAAAGGTTGTCTGTCATGTTATTGAGTGAAATTCTGACCAGGGGCCTCGGTCTGTTGTGATGTGTTGAAAAGATTAATTGCTTTTTCCATGGTTGTACTCATTTTGTCTAGTTGTTGTTGATATCTCTCTTGTATCTTTTTGATGTCCTGAATGCTTGTTGTCTCCTTTGAGGACTGTTCTTCTGGGTTGTTATTATTTTCTTCTAATTCTTCCATTAGTTCATTGATGCTCTCTGGATATCTGTTGGCACATTCTTGTTCTAATACATCTACTCATTCATTCAAGTCTCGAAGTATGCTTTTTATCTCTTTTAGTTCTTGTTGTATTGAGGTAAGCATGTGCCATATGTCCTCTTCAGGATAGCGAGACCTCTGGTTGCGCCCGTACTTGAGAATGTTTGCATAGCTCTGTGGGTTGCTGTCTGGACATTGTGTCTTGATGTGCTCGGCTCCCATAGACATGTTTCTGATTCGGTCGGATGGGAGTCTGGATTATTGGACCTGTTTATGAATTGCCTAGGGGGAATAGTTTCTGATTTGTCTGGGCAGGCTCAGAGGAAGTGCTCTGGCGATCTGCATTCTAGGCATAGTTTGGTCTTCCGATGTACCCATTGTGATTGTGTACCTTTGATCACAGGTGCCGATGTCTTTGCCTCTATTAGTTCACTTTCTGATTGGAAGGTGAAGATGACGAATCTCTTGGCCCGTTCGTTGTTGTAATATGGGATATATACTGATTTTGCCTTGGTGCTTGTTGTTATTATTGCTAAGTCTGCAGCATTTATATCAGGTGGAAGGCATATCAGTGTGGCGCTGTATTGTTCTCTCTGTTCTCCGGTCTTGTGTCTTTTGTAAAAAGGAAAGACTTTATAGGAGTAAAGGTCTTTAGTGAGTGCCCACTCCTGGCTGACTTCAATATAGTCAAATATATTGGAGAATGTGATGCATGCTGTCTGGAATGGGCTTGCTTTCTTTAGGGTTATATAATCAATGCTGATTTGAGGGTCAAAGAATTCGGCTAGGTCTGTTTTGGTGAAATGCAGGGGAATGTCCCATACTCTAATAGTATGGGAGTTGCTGTCTTGGGATTCTGATGCGGCTATTCTTCTAAATTTGGCAGTCTTATTGTCGGTGATTGACATTTTACATGCTTTTTGTATGTTCTCTGGGTCTGCTAATATGGCTGTGATTTGCAGTTTTCCAATTGGATACTCTATTCTCACATACTTCAGGAAGGGGAGGTTCCCCAGTTTCTGCCGGATGTAGCTCATTTTTTCCCCGACTGTATGTTCTGGGACCCATTCTGGATCAATGAAGGCTTTCAATAAAGCCATGGCTTCTTACTGTCTTTTACTGTGTTCTACTGGTACCTGCTCCTCCAGTCCTTTTCCTTTCGAGTTATAGCTGTAGTCATTTTGACTAGTGATACACGTTGGTTCCTTTTGGCAGGTGGTCTTTGGTTGTCCATTTTGTGTTTCTGGTATTTTCCTGAAGTCTTCTTCTATTTCTTGTACAGTGAGAGGCGAGCTTGCTCCGCTGCCCGTCTCCCTTGGGGGAGGTTCTTGATTCTGTTCTGCTACCTCTATCTCCATTGCCGCTGGAATTGCCGTGGTGTCTTTTCTCTCCTTATCTTTAATTGTTTTTGGTGCGGTTTTTGTTCTGCTTCCAAGTGGTGTGTGTCTCAGTTGGACCGTTGGTGTTGTTACTTTGGTTTTGAAAGTTTTACCATTGTTCTTGCTGATTCTGTCCACATTGTACTCTGGAGTTGTTTGTCTGTCCAGACTCCTGAGTTGTCTGGATGAAGCCATCCTTGGGGCTCTTATCTACGGGCTGGTTGTTTTTTCAATACTTGCCTAATAAGGAAATTTTTACAAATTTTGTTGCGAGTGGGAAAGAGATTTTTTTTTTTGATTTAATATAATACCTTTCAATAGCCATACTTAATTAAAGAAATTTTATTTATGTATATCTTTATTATCCAAAAGACCAGATTTTTCAATAATCTTTTTGTTTTGTAATAATAGAAGAGTTTTGAAAAGTAATAGAGATTCTTAACAATTATGATATTCTTCAATTTTTAGAGAAATGTATTCTCAACTATAATTAAAGGGTTGAAGCTTAACATAAACTAGAGACTGTTAGTCATATTGTCTAACTGAAATAAAAAGAAGACCTTGGTCTTGAATTTTGCTTGACTGAGATTATAGGAGAGAAAGATCTTAGCTTGAACAAATAGCAACTTTTTTATTATTTGGAAACTTGTTACTCATATTTAATTGATATTATGAAACTTGATCTATAGATTAATTAAATTGAAGAAATAAATAGAACTAGGGCACCAGTTAACTTTTTCATTTATCAATAATATTATTGAAACATATGATATAACCAATAGAAACTTGTTTATATTTTGTTATTAATATGGTTCTTGTTAATAAATCAGATACCAGGTAATATTGTATTATTAGAAATTCAATATCAAACTGAGATAGGCAAAATCCTTTAAAAAAACCATAAAAAATAATAGGCATTCTAAGAGAATACAAGACAGTATATAAGAAGGTGAATAATAAATATTTCTCTGTCAACAAAATCTCTACTTTTATAATTTCTAGCTCTGTAAGGTAACACTTTACTTGTTAATTCTTTTACTTCCTAGAATCTTTTTGTTCTTAATAGAGAAAGTATATATTTAAGTTTTTTCAAGTTACTAGAGACTCAAGTTTTTATTTAAAGTAGTTTTTATAAATAAATAAGGGAGAGTAATAGAGATAAGTGAAGACAAGCTTCAAGTTGGTTTAATAAAATATAAAGACTTTATTAGCAAAGAAGTATAAAAACTTCTTGTGAACTTTTTTTTTGTGTATGGTCAGAGAATTAGCAGAAAGAGATTTACTTTTTTTAAACAATAAAAATTTTCAAAAGTTTTGTTATACACATTTATATACTATATATTATATAAATATTTATTGTTTTAATTGAATTAAATTTAATTGAAAATATCTGATAGTTGATTTTTTATGTCACATTTTTTTAATAATCTATAAATCTTTAAAATATAAAAAAAATATTAATTTGAATTATTTTTAAATACAATCTTATATTGATAAAAAAAGACCTATGGGCTAGTTTTGAAAAAAAAACTAAATATATTGCTCAATTAATTTTTAACTGAAGTACTGTATATAATTGGTGTTACCAACCAATGATAAAATTTTAGTAATTCATATAGTACTTTATATTTTTCCAATTAAAAGTTCAGTAACTATTAATATGATAGTAATGTGATAGTAATATAAATTTAGAAAATAGATCAAGACTAAATTAGCCTCTGGAAATCTAATATAAAAAAAAATTCAAACTTCAAAAGTTCAGGATTCACATTACAAATTATCTCAACAACAGAATAGATGCACTTGCCAAATAAATCAGGAGAATTCAATAATATGAAGCCACTGGATAAAGTCGGAAAAATATTTAAAATGAAAACTTGGCAAGATAATATTTATTTATTATATTATTATTCCATTAGTTCTTTTGATTTATATTGTTGATTTGCGTGTCGCTATTTTGATTACGCTGAGATGGCTGGTTAGCTGTATTACTCATTTTTTCTATTCTTGAAGAATCTACGAGTTAACACCTACTTTTATATATTATTTTTAAATTTGTGTTGCTAGCAGTTTTATGCCGCTATGCCGACATGTTTCGCGAACAATGGCATCATAATTTTCTCAGTTTTCTCGAACTTGTGTTTTATCTCATCAGAATATATTGCAATGCATAGGGTAACTTAATTATAGCAATAAAATAAGCTTCCCTGAAAACCGAGAAGACTGACTTTAAATTAACCAAAAGGACTTTGGCACTAACGATTAGCAAATCTGACAGTTAAAATTCGTTCATCGAGAAGTAATTTACAGTATAATCTATGCATCATGCTACGTTATATTCAGTGAATCAAACTTTTAATCGCTCACAATCCATTTCATATGCCATAATAAAATAAACTTTTGTAGAAACTAAATATATAGTTTTGCGGAATTCTTGAACTATCAGTGTATAAAATCTATTACTAGGAATCATTTACAAATATTTTTATTTTAATTACGAGAGTGCTTTGATTTAATTATAAAGATGTCTGTCAAACAAGAAACTAAGTTGAAAGAAGAAATGAATAAAGAGGTAAAAAAATAAATAAATAAATTAGCCCTAACCATAAGTCAAACAAGCGTTGCAATTTCATATTGAAATAGACTATCGTTATTAATTTGTTTAGAAAAAGTATGAAACTTCTGAGAATAAATTAAAAGAACCTCAATCTCTTATCCCTACGAATTCCTCCCGAAATATCAGAAGACCTCGCTCGGCGTGGACACCAGAGGAAGATGAAGCATTGTTTAACGCTATTAATTCAGTGTTGGCTGGTCAATGGAAAGATGTTTGCGCAAAAAGTCCTTTGCTAAAAGCACGTGGTACAAGTATGACGTCTCAAAGATTCAAGACAAAGATTCGATACTTTGTTGGTGGTTCTGCGGAAAGAGGAAAGAAGTAGTTCTGAATTTTAGGCACAAAGTTTTTAGTGAGATTGAAAATTTTTTATTCTCATTACATTTTACATATCTTACAGACTGCATACAATTAATGTGTCATTGAATTCTCTCGTGAATAAAATTTCGGTAACATGTAATTAAATGTTTTTATTCTGAGAAATGCTGTTGGGCTTTGGGTAAACAACCCTATTGCAAGTGCGCCTTATTTGCACATATAACATTAAGTGCGTGTAAAAATAAACATGAAGCCGTATTAAAATAAATAATGATATATTATTCGCGTAATCCTTCTCTTTTAATAATAAAAACGATAAAAAAAAAAGATTTATGGAATATAAGTCCTATGTTAATACGATTATTTAAGTATGACATTAGCATAAAAAATATTGACAAGCACATAAATTATAATCTGTAGAATTAAAAAGTGAAATCTTAACATAAATTGACTTTTTATACATAAAATAAAATATAAGTTTATACTGAGTATTTCAATGAACCATAAAAAAAAACTATCCATTAAACTTTATATAAATGAGCTTTTGTTTCTTTTTTCTTTTTTCTTTGTTTTTTCTTACCCGCAAACTTGCCATTATGCACATCTTTATTGGATGATTAATAAAATCAAATTATTACAATTATATTTTATATAACACCGATTCGTCTTTATGCATTATAGGTTAAAAGATTAAACTAATAAATACTATATTGACTCATTGAGCTAGTTTTAAATAAACAAAACAAAGTTTAAACCAGATATTCTAAGTCCTGCATTTCAGTCTTTAATTTAAAGAATTATCGTCTATAATTTGTTATTAGTAATTATCCCAAAATTAAGATAAAGCTATTGAAAAAGAATAAAAACAATTCAAAACTCTTTAAAAAAGTCCTTGGTCATATTTATTAAGCTTTTGGTAAAATGATTTCTATACTAACGCTTTATTATAAAAGTCTTTATCTAATTAAAATAAAAGAATTAATATTTTTAAAAACTTTGTTTAATTGAAATAATAAAAGCAAAAAATCTTTACAATATTTACTATATATATATTATATTGTTATATATAAAGTGTAGCTTTTGAATTATTATAATATTATTGTAATTGTGCACTAGTATTTTTTTTTTTTATTAAACATGCAACATTGCCCATTTTATTGAGTTCATATACAGGTACATATACTTCGGCTTGCAAAGCAATTTTACAAACAGTTTTCTATGCTTTTATTATATATACTTACAATAAAACCAATTGGCTGGGATGCCCCTTGTGGCTTGTTGTCTCTTTTAGAGAGAAACTAACATGCCTAGGCACTATTAGCATGTTCCGTGTAGATTTGTGGAATCCTCTGATTATTTCTGTGAAAAGGTTTCCATCAAATGCTTAATGTGCCTTTGTTTCTGTCTCTTGATGTGTCAAGCATGTGTTGCGTTCATGTTTTTGATGCTTCTTTTGTTTACCTGTGATACCATGGAGCTTTTTCCAAACATGCAGTCTGTCACATTTGTCCAATCAGATGTTGTGTGTCCAGAAGCATATGATGTTATTAATTCCTCTTAGAGTTTCGTCGACCCTATCGGGTTTGATGTATGTGGCCACGATTTTGATAATTGACTTGCATATACCTCCTCTGATTATGATGTCTCAGATGGGCTTATTTGACAAGATCTTTTTTGCTTCCATTTTGACATTGTGTGTTGAAGTGTCTTCCGTATGTGCAGTGATCTCCTGGTGTATGGTGTGAGCAATCGTGTTATTGATGTCTATTTCATAATGCGTATAGATGAATGGGTGTATATTGTCCTCGAACATGTCACATGATATGCAGTCCATAAATGGGTATAGGTCTGGTCGTCTGTTTTATAGTTTGTTCATTGTGGGTAGTTCCTGGTTCCAGAGTTTAATGGCAAAATTTCTATAGTTGTGATCCCAGTAATTTGTCTTTCCATTGTTCATATTTGATGGATGCAACCTGGAGATTGTTTTGTCCCAGTCAATGTCAGATGCTGTGTTTTTGTTAATGTGTGAGTTTCTCTTTAATGAGGTCCACTGGTAGATTAACTATGCTTGCCTGATCTTTTTGATTATCTTCCATGGGGTGTGTGTGAATTCCGTGTTCTTTCTGAAGATGAAGACGATGTTCTATGGGTTAAGTATTATATTGTTGAGTGTACCCATATAGTTAGATTGGGTATGTTTGTTTACTTGTTTTACTAGAGAATTTGTTGTTGTGAATGGGTAGTCACTACCGTGTTCTATTTTGTTGGTTTTGATTCATGTGATTTTAATATTGTGTTGTTTGAGAATGAAGATGAAATTTTCTATTAGTCTTAGTTCTGATACTGCTTTTATGTCATTTTCTATGTAACTAGTATATTCTTTGATAAGCGTGTCTGAGTCTGTTTCCAATATGAGGTTTGTCCCTGATCTGCAGAAAGTTGAAGCTATTGTGGCGGTCAGAATTTCTGCTCTATATGCTGAAGTCTGACCCACTATACGAAACATCACTTTGGCTATAGTCTGATGTTTGTGTATGATATGTATGCCTATGCCGCAGCTGTCTGAAAGTGAAAGTTGATTATATGCACTATCTGTGTAGATGTGTGCTTGATTGTTGCATCTAGTGGTTCTGTATATCCCTTGTATATATTCCTCTGTACTTTGATCAAAAGTTATGTATTGCATAAGTTTCTGCATTATTCTTGGAAGCATTAGAATGTCTATTGCTTCTATTTGTTGGTTGGATTCATGCATGTATCTGTTCAGGCTGTTTGGCGAAATCTGTATTCTTGACTACCTTGACGAACCACTGTGGCTAGAAAATCTTGTTGTGTTGATTACTGGAATGCTATATGCATTATGCTTGTCGATATATATACAACAAAATGATTCTCTTTTGTCAGTTTCATTTGTAAAATGGCATTCATGACATGCGGTGACAGATGAGCTATTCGTTGTGTTGTAATGTCTCACTTTGATTGATGTTTCCGTGGAGCTGATTCTTTTCTTTATTATTGTAGAGTTATTGCGTAGAGTTGCATACCATGTTGCTCTAGTTTTTTGAGTTTCTGCTGGTTCGATCTGTGGAATTGGGTTGAGTGTTGGTGCAAGGGAATTGGTTGAATTAAGATTTGTGATTTGATAATGCAGGTATTGAAACCATCCTGATTCTCTTTTCTTTTTAATTTTTCTGTGGAGGGCATCAATTTGATGCCATTGTAGTATTACCATTTGATATGTACTAAGAAATTGTTCTATTCAGATTAGTCTATGTGATCTCAATGCTTTCCTATGTCTGTTGTATCAATCTTATTCAACGAAATCTTGGATATATCGAATATTTGTTATCCTATTTTCTAAATGCATCTTCTTACTGGCAAAAAACTTATGATCTTGTAGGTTAATTAGAGCATCTTGTAAGAAGTTGGTTTTGGCTTGAAAAATGTGAGGACAATTTGTTAAGATGTCTGCCTTTTGCCATGCTTGCCATTGGAGGTGCTAGATCCTATTGTGGATAATGTCGCCTACTGGATTGTGACTCACATGTTTGTTGTAGGTTACTTGCATGTTTTTGCATTTGTCAGGTTTGTATCTCCATTAAGCCATATTGGTTATGGAGATGGAAAATTGGATTTGGTGCAGTTAGAGCTAATCTTATTGTGTTTTTGAAACTTCTTCTGATTCTTCTATCGATCTTTTGGCATTCTTCTTCAGATAAAACCAGGTTTTGAGTGAGATATTCTATTATAGGGAAAAGTATGTAGTTGATAATGTATTTGTGTATCTTGTCTGTCACAATTTTCCTAGAAAGCATGTTGCATATAGAGTTTGTTTTAGTTACAATCAGTTTCCGTTGATATATTTTTTCTTTCTTTTCTTCATGCCATACTCCTAGAAACCTTATGGCATTTATTAAGTCAGCGGGTATAATCTTGTGTTGGTTAACTGTGATGCTTTCTTGCTTCATGTTTAGGATCATTAATTCTGATTTTTGTGGATTAACTGTGATGTTATTCAAAATATAAAAGGATGAGCTGATTTTGACGATGTCTTCTAGCTCTTCTTTGTTGCCCGTAATGAATGTGGTGTCATCTATATATGCTAGCACTGAGATGTTGATCTTGAGAGGTAACATGTTGTCCAGTATCAGTTTGTTACTCTGGAGTTGATACCCTTTCATACTGTTTATCTTTGTAATGAGCGGGTTATAGTATATTCTCCACAGTAAAGGTGAGATTGAGTCCTTTTGATCGATGCCTTCTTTAATTGTATACCAGTCTGTGTGCCCATAGTAGGTAATAACTCTGTTCTGTCGATCCTTGAAACAGTTTTCGATGAGATTGATGATTTTTTGTGGAATTTTAATTTGTTGCATTGCTTCTGTGAGTCTTCGCATATTCACTGTGTCGTATGCTTTGCTCATGTCCTGAAATAACATGTAGCAAGGTTTCCTGATTTCTCTAGTGTCTTCCAGAATGTGATTCACTATTGCTGTCGGGTCCCTAGTGCTTAGACCAGGGAGTATGACCCAGTTGTATGAAGATAGTATTGTGTGCTTTGTGAAGCTTTCTGCTAGCCGCTTTGTAATGATTTTAGTAAAAATTTTCTTGATTGATTCCAGAAGAGTTATAGGATGGGTTATGTTGATGTCATGATGCTATTCTTTGGGTTTGGGTATGGGATATATTGTACTGTATTTCCATTCCTTAGGAACCTCTTCTCGTTTCAGTATGGTATTAAAGAAAGAGACTAGTACCTCATGAAGTTCTTTATCAAAATGTTTGAATGCTAGATAGGGAATGTTCGATGGTCCAGAAGCGGACTTGTTGCTGGTGTTTTTGATCACGTTTGTAAGTTCCTCATTAGAAATTGGTTTGTCTATATCTTGATACCATGCTGCGTCAATGTGAGGCCTTGGTTCATACTCATTGTGCCATATGGTACCCCTGTGTTCTTGGAGGGATCTCTGTTCAGTCCAGTTTTCGAAATGAGAGCCGATATATTTTTTGATTGCTGTAGGGTCTGTTATGAGGTGTGTGTCTTCGTTGATTTGATGTACCAACCTGTTTGTGATAATGGTCCTCTATGGTAATTCCATTACTAAATTTATTAGTTTTTTCTTATCTTCCTTAAACCAATTATTGCGAAGATTTCTCCATTTGTTGATGTCTTCAGTAACTTTATCCTTTAACATCTCTTCTTAACGGTTGTTTCTATTTGTATGATGTTGTCCAATTCCTTTATAATTTCTTCTGGGTCGTGTGATGCAATGTTACATGAGAGTTTTACTTTTTCCTCTATTGCCTTACGAAGAGTATGGATCTTGTCGTAAACTACTTCCTGTGGACTTGTCCTTAGTTGTATAATCTGTCTTCTGTATTCTCTAAGTTGTAGAAGCAGTATGGGTCGAGTTGCTGCTATCGTTCTTCTGTGTTTCCTTATTTTCTCTTTGAATTTGGGTATGTGTTTGTTAGTGGCTTTCAAAATTATGTCATGTAGTTTGTGCCAGAAATTGTCAATATCCATATTGTTGAGGTTCGTGAGATCTTTTAGGATGTCACTATGGGAATTGATTTCTTTAGTGAATTTTTTCCATTGTTCCTCTGTAGCTGAATCTCATGCCAGCCGAGTGTTTTTTTTATGTCTTCTGAAATGTTTTGTGAATGTTAGCAGGTTTCAGCTTTCTATGTGTGTTATTTGGATTCTGTGATCTATTGTTATGCCAGTATTTTCTCTGATGTATGCGTCCACAAGTCCTCAAGATGTTCTGGAGCTTATCCAGATCATGTCGATTCTACTTGCTTGTTCTAGAATGGTTGTGCTTCGGAACCATGTGAACTCTTTAGAATGTGGGTTACAGTTTCTATATATATCTATCATATCCATTTCTTGGAGTTGTGCAAAGAAAGGATTGGTTGTATTTTTGGATATTTTTCTGTTGCTTGCTAGCTTGTCCTTGCAGCTGTCGGGGTAAGAGTTGAAGTCGCCTCCCAGTATTATATGTCAATTGTCGTGGTTGTGTGGTTTGATCCATTTTAGGATTTGTGTTTGTATTTGATTTCTCTCCGTTCCTGCCTGGGCTGGTAAATATACACCAATTATCCTGCAGTATTTCTTGTTAGGGAAGGCAAGGTCGACGCATATGAGTATGCCTTCTTGTCTTTGAATGCGAATTACTCTGTCTGCTAGATGTTGTTTTAGGGAAATCCCTACTCTAGAGCTGTTATCATTGTTGCTGTGCCACCATGACGTGTATCCTTCTGTCTTCCAGAATTTTGATTTTGTTTCCTTTCCCTTAATTTCTGTTGAAATGATTATGTCCCATTTGTTTAGGTGCCAGGTTTCCATCCATGATGCGAGTTTGAGATCTGAGTTTAGACCTTGTATGTTGCACATTGCTATTGTCCGGTAGGGTCTATCTATTTGTGTAGTGGTGTTGTAAAAGTTCAAAATAAAAATACTTTTATTATGACTTTTAGCGACTTGAAATTAAAAGAAAACCAAATTCAAAATCTGAGAGCTTTATTGAGTCAAAATTGAACATATTTATACATGTTTTCTCCAACATAAATAATTAAAATAATAAATAATCTATAATTAAAAATACATATGAAACATAAATCTTGAAACGGCGTAATGCTCCCGAAAGACTTATGAAATATATTGTCCTTAAAATAAAATAATAGAAAAGAAATAAAAAGAATAATAATAGATGAAACAAACAATATCAAATATGAAACCCCAACTGTTTCAGCCCTGCTACCCTTAAAAGGTGAAATGAAACAAGTGTGAAGTTGATGCGCTTCAGCCTTGTGTTAGTGGAACAAAAGATAGGCAAATGTTTCAACCGGTGTTTCAGATCTGCCTAGAGATTTCTAGGGGTAAAATTCAGGTGATCCATGGTCAGGGGGTGCAGTTTAGGGTGAAATTATTACAAGTGTGCTCATTTGTTTGAACTATTTTTTGTTTTGTGTGTGGATGTTTTGTGGTGTGTATTACGCTTGTATTGATGTGTTCTGTGTTACTATTACCTCGATTGTTTTTTCCTTTAGTATTGTTGATTGATATTGTTTGACTAGTGTCTGCCGGATTGTGTTCTTTTAGTTGAGAGTTGAAGTTGTATTGTGTGTTGAGTTGATTGCTTGGATCGTTGTCAGCTGGAGAATTGTCACTGATCGAGTTACCTATTATTGTGAATTTGTTATGGGTGGAGTTATGCTGCCAAGGATGATGTTCGTGATTGTAGATACTAATGCGTTCATAGTATGATCCATGTTGCCGATGGAATTGTGAAGTTGTTGCTGTTGTTGCTGAATATCATTTAGTGCAGGGTTGTTTACAGGGTTCTGTCTGTTCTCTTCCATGTCTTGTGTTTGGTCTTCTTCCATACTTTCTATGTTGTCATAACAATATTGTTCCAGATTGTCGATTCTTTCATCCAGGTTATGTAAAACTGCTTTGATCGATTTTAGTTCTCCTTGGATTTCAAGGAACATACGTGCAATGTCTTGTGTAGTGTTGTCTTGCGAATTGGCTGGGTATTCATTCGAGTGTTGATTTTTTACTGCTGCTGTATAGGATCCTGCAAGTCTTGTTGGTCTTTTTTCTGAGGAGTGAGTGAACTTTCAGATGGGTGCAGAGTTTGCTGGTTTGAATCGCTGGTACAACTTCCCAAACTTGTTTGCTTGTTCTTGATTAAATTTGTTCCATTGTTCTCTTCTTTCTTTGATGTTGCAGCCTGCTACTAAATGTTGTGCACTGTCACAAATAGTGCATAGTTTGGTGTTGATTGGCTGGCACTCAATTTTCGTTTCTCCTAGGGTGAAGGTTTTCGTAAGGTGCACTAGTATAGTTACTAGTTTGTCAGTTAGTTTATTACTTAAGTTCCTGAGTAATCTTTGATTTTTATTTATTTAACTTTGACATGCCATACTAATATTATTTTTTAGATCCTATTTATAAGAATCTGAATCAGTTTTTCTATTTTTTTATTTCTATTTTGGTCTATTGCAAATAATAATAGATTTAGTATATAAAATTTCATAAATCATTTATGTCTTATTAATTAAAAAAAAAAAATAAATTCGTTTAATTATTAATTTAAAAAAAAATTTAAATTCGTTTAATTATTAATTAAAAGAAAATAAATTTGTTTAAAAATAAAAATTATTAATTCCGTTCCAGTGCGTGCGTGTTGTGTATGATCTTCAGGCACCTAAATTATTGAAAATTACTTGCCAACTCTTCCGATTACAGTATTAGAACTAGTCGATCAAATTACTTGTTCGTTAAATGTCTATGAAAGGTGAAAGAGGTAATTGTCGAATGAATCCGTATAAAGGCCGGGTTAATAATTCAAAATAAGTAAAAAATAGCAGACATTTTACTTCCTCAAAATCAAATAACTTTTCGCGACTTACAAAAAAAAAAAAAAAAAAAAATTTTCAACAATGTTAAAACGTTAAAACGTACACTTTTCGCTGCCTTTTCTCTATTCGCGTTATGTCTCAACGCAGCACCGCCACCTCCACCTCCATTTCCCTTCGATAATGCATTAGTCGTTTTAAATGAACTTGATACCATCATTAATTTTTTGCGATTACAAAACGAAGTCTCGTATGGTGGACAATTTAAGAAAGGCTTCACTGAAAATAATGCCAGTGCATACTTTATCCAAATTGAAAAAGTAGGAAAAAGTTCCTTTAAGGACTTAGGTATTAAAATTAAAGGATTTGGTACCGATAAATTTTCTCATAAATTACCCATAGACTTTAGTAAAATCGTCAACAAAAAATTTACGGTTTTACATAATGATAAATCTATCGATTCGGGAACTATAATTCCTGTTCATTAATATAATTCCATAATATAATTTTTCGACGCCATCGCGAGCGATAGCGTCACCATAACTTCATGTGTTCTTTCTTGATCATAGATTTCCTCAACTAGTAAAAAAAAACCCCTTTTCAATTTTTTTCAATTACAGTATCAATACTTAATTCAGATTACCATAGTGCTTTACAGAAAATATTGTAATTCCCTGTCCTTACAACTGTCGATTCTTGAAAACTTTAGTAAAAGCTAATACACTTGAAGCCCTACGTAATCTTAACTATTGCAATATGATAATACCTACATAGTATTACTAAATGAGAATTTTACAAATCGTAAATCTGATTTCCATTGAGTTATCGCGAGATTGTAGAAAATTAAATTGCTATCTCTTGTAACTATATGAAATGTTGCTTTAACAAAACCGGGAAGCGTTTCATACAACTGCTAAGAGCGAAATAAAGAACCGAGTAACAATAAAGTGGTTTTAATGTAGGACAAAAAATGCGCAATACGGTGATAATGACTCTAAAATAATAGTAGTAAGGTAATAAATAATTCTTTTTTTTTTTTTTTTTTTTTTTTGAAATTGACAACTTATTGATTCGAAAAACAAGATCTAGGCATTACATAATGACAAACTCATCTTTAATATATTGTTAGTTAATGGATTGAACTAATGAAATTCAATTAATCCCTAAGCTAAGGTGGTTTGAAAGAAAAAGAAAGTTTAAAAACAAACAAATATACTAAATAAATAAGATTATTTATTGTCTTTTAAAAGATTTATTATTGTTTTTATTTGTCATTTTTCAAAAAAATATGAGATATTTTTTTCTTCAATTATTTGAAAAAGCGTATTTATTCTTAATCTTGAATTATTTTTTTTTATTATATAGAAAATTTAATACTTTTGATTTATTATTAAAATTTTTTAATCTATATACTGTATATATATATAATATATATTTTTTAACCCTTTATTAAGTTAGTTATATGTATTCTATGATTTATTGATCAATAATACAGTGATTAGTACTCCATAGATCAGATCACAAGATTCAGGTTCAATTCCTCTAGGGGCTAATGTGATTCCCCTATCTTAAAGCAGGTAGGATCTGTATCTATTGGTCTAATCATAAATTAACTGATATTTCTAAATATAGTTACTGATCTATACAAAGATTGTGATTGGTTTAATATCTGAGATCGGATAGGATCATCCTTAATATGATTGCATTACCCAATTGTAATAAAAAGAGTAAACTCCAAACTGGTAGTATATTTCTCAAAGTGAAGTATATAGTTGTATCAAGTTTTATAAACTTTACTATTAGGGTCCTTAATAAAGGAAGCAAAAACATGAATTATTCCAAAGGATCAAAAACCAGAGTTTAGAATATTGTAAATAATGATCTGATAACTAAAATACTCTTAAGAAAAAATTATTTTAAAAAAAATTAAAATAGATTCATATGTCTTTTTGAATAAATAATAATTATATAGTATTACATTTTTTTTTTTTTTTTTTTTTTTTTTTTTTTAGCTGGCGAAGTCATACCATGTAGTTTTTATTTAAGCATTAATATTCTCTTATATATACAAATTGAATTGCGAGAAAATACATTTATGATAAGAAAAAAACTAATGATTCAGTATCTCACAAACCCTGTGACTTGCTGCAGTTCACTATTTAGGTAAATATTAATGTGTCATTACTCCACTAACACTGATATTTATATGAAATAGAGAGTTAATACTGAAACTGTTTTGTAATATGTTTCTCATGTTATAGTATGTTAGTTCTATGTACAAATTTCTGCAGCATCTGTCTTGTTTTCTTCATTCCATGATACTTCTTTTCTGGATATTTTAGTATTGTTTCCTATTTATTCTTGTTTTATTTTCCTAGATATATTCTTTGTATTTTCACATTCTAGGACCAAGTCACATCTTAGTCTCCAAATCCTTCTTTTCTCTTGTCAAAGTTATACTGTAGCCTTTTTTACTGCAGCTTTGGCTTCCTTTTTATCTCCTATAATTTTTTCTGCTACCCAAATCATTCTATGTGTAATGAACCCTCTGATTATGTATGTTGGTTCTACTGTCACCCAGTTTCCTTTCCTTTTGTCTGGTCTGAGGAGGTGTTCCCACCTACTTTGAATAGATTGTGACTGTTTGTTGCCATTGGCTCTTGATGCACATTCTTATATCAAGAGTTTTGTGAGTTTCTTGATTAGCCTTGTTTTCTTGGATCCACAAGTGAAAGAATATAGATCTCTTTCTTCCTGTCTTCTACAAATTACACATTTTGCTGACTTGTATATCCATGATTTGCATATGTTCATGTTTGCTATTGTGAAGTGTTCATTGGATCATGTTTTCCATTGGAAAGTTCCATTCCTATGGTCTTCTAGGCTGATCTGGAGGGATGAGATTTTGGATAACATCAGGATTTGCATGGTTAGTTCCCAGTTTATCTTCTTGCTTTTTTGTCTTGTTAACCATATTTGGTTTCATTGTAGTGTCTTCCATTTACTGGCCCATTTTGTTTTTAGGAGGGTCTTACCTATTGTTTTAAAGGGAAGGTTTACAAAGGACTGGTCCTATCTTAATGTTGTGTTGCTGCTTGTGGACTGTAGTTCTTGGATTTTTATGATATCCTTGAAGTTGTCTACAAGTGTAATAGCCACTAGTTTATTTGCTTGTTCATTTTCTTTGTTTTCTGAGTGGCCTTTTATTTTTGTCCACTGAATTTTAATATACTGTATTGTGATAATTTTTCTGATTGTATCGATTAGAATCTTGTTTGGCCTTTTTGGTTTCTGTTTCTTGGTTTGATTCTTATCAGGTGCTTTATTTATTGCATTGATAGCACCTTGACTGACTGTTAGGATGTTAATCCTTTTATTGGGACTAACTATATAGATTGCTGTGAGTATTGCTATCAGTTCCGCTCTGGTGAAAAATGGGGTGTCTTGAGTTTCTGCTTGAAAGGTTGTGATTTCCTGGCCTGACTTTGTTTGGGCCACCTAGCCAATTCCCATCTTGCTCTTGATTGTGTGTCTTGTGAAAGAGCCATCTGTGTAGAAATGGATATTGTTTTCTGATGCTAGTTTTTTTGCGATTTGTTGTAGATTCTGAATCATTCTGATTGAGCTGTTATCCTCTTTTTTATGAGAGCTTTTGTCATTGATTTGGCTCCAGATTTATGCTAGGCATGTCTAAGTTTGGGGGCTATATATTGATTTCCCTTATTGCTAGTTCGATTCCTTGAGGGAATTATTGTAGTCTATTGAGTGGGGGTTGTTTAGTGTCAGTTTTTTGATGTCATGAGAAGATTCTGGTCCTGCTCTTTTGGATCTTTATATTTACTGAGCAGGTCAAAAGCTGCTTCATTATGTATTGTTGTTGATCCTTATAGTTTTTCCTGAGTTCTTGGTTGTTGAATAGACAGTCTTTGCATTTGAACATTAGATATGTCTCCTCATTCCTGATCATATGATTAACAACTACTCTTTGATTGTCTAGTTGCTTCTTCTTTTTGTTATGATCATTTCTCCATTCTTTTTTGTTGCTAGCCATTTGATGGTTGATTAGTGTTGCATTGGAAGGACAGGGGTAACTGATCGGAATCTGTTGGTGGAGGGGCTGCTATTGTCCTCATATTTTTTGGTGAATAATTTTTTTCCCTTCATTACTGCCTCTGGCTATGTTTGAAGAATTAGTTCTTTCAGATCTTTGTACCAATTGAAGGTCCTGCCTTATTTTCCCAACTTCATCCTTATTTGTTGCCATGTTAAGACTCTTGTTTTGCTATTGTTCAAGAGTTGGTCTCTAAACATTATCCTTCTACCTTTGAGTGCAGCTCTGTTCTTATTATATCATTTCTCTGTGACTAGTTCTTGAATTGCCTTACCCTCATTTTTGACTGGTTTGCCAAATCAAATATGTTCTGTTGATGCCACTATGATTCCTTGCAATTTGAACATGTTCAAGATATCATTTGTAAGGTTGTTCCTTCTCCTGGTCCAAAAGGAAAGCTTATTCATTAGTATAGATATATTTGATCAATAGTTATTTTAAAGTTGTTGGAGTCTGATCTGTATAGTGATACCCACTAGATTATGACTGTTAAGTCTATTGATTAGGTTTTTCCCATGTATAAGGATTTGTCTATCCCATAAATTGAACAGTTTGTAGCCAAAGTCAGTATGCAGAATACAGTTTGGAGTTGTTGAAGATAAGCTAGCCTTGTGCTTGAATGTTTTGTTTATTTTGTTGCTTATCTTGTCACATTCTTTTTCTGACAGGACAAAGTCATTGAGAAGATACTTGATTGCTGAAAAGAGGGCTTGATTGATGATATAGCATGTTTGCTTGTTAGTAATTTTCTTCCAGGCAAGTGTTCTGGTTGTAATATCTATTTTGTCTCTAATAATGTTTTTTTGTCTGGCTTTTTTCCCATCTTCTATTATTCAAACCTCCAGTATTCTTGTTGCTTCATCTCATTGCAAGGGCAGAATTTGTGTTCTGTTGAGCTGTATACTTGCTTCTCTTTGTTCTTGGGCACATTTATGCAAATTAGAAATGATTTCTTGCTATTGACTTGTATATCATTTATCCTTAGAAATTCTGAGGCCTTGTTGATTATTTCCTATATATTTGGTCTGTTGTTTGTGAACCATGTAGTATCATCCATATATACTGTGGCTGTAACAGTTGTTTACCTACAGGCTTAATTTGTAATTTTA